CGGGACAAAATGGGGGACACTCTGGGCCCAGGTAGTGGTTTTGTTGCCGCGAAAAGGAAACACTTCGTCTACAGGCGCGTCCCGCAAATTCGCCGTGCATTTTGTGGGTCGGTGAATTTGGCCGCAACAGTCCCGTCGCTTGACCCAGACGAACGCCTAATCTGCCGCTACTGGATTTCTTCTTCTCGGGCTTCGATAACGATCCGGCCCCGCAGGCGTCGTGCCATACGGCTGTTCGTCCTCACCGCCGAAATGCCTGGGAGTAGTACAAGCCAACAAGCACTTGAATGTTAGGAGCACGCAGGCTAAGGAGGAATTGTGCAAGGTTTCTTGATTCACGAGCTCCCTTGTACTTGCCCAACGCCAAATAGCACGACCCGTTGAGATACTTAGGCCCGACTCGGAAATTTACAATGCCGCCAACATCCGCCTCGTACCTTCACAGTAATCGTATTCCTGGCACCATGCTTTGGAGCAATACGTTCTTACCAATAGCGCAGTCAACTACTAAGGTGATTTATCCTGTAAGTTTATTGCACGTTGATGGTGGGATTCGGCGCCGACCTACCGTCCCAGCCGGGCCATCTCCCACCAGCGGGGCACCGCCCCAGTCGGGACAAGCTCTACGCTCTCGTGCGGTGCCCCAGCATGTGTGGTAGAATAGTACATGTAGATGTGTGTGCACGCAAGGAGTAGTATAGGTCAAGAAATGGGAAAGAAAGATCGGGCGCAAACCGTGGCCCGTTTGTTAGGGTACTACTCCGACATTTGCCTGGTGTTGATCGGAGAAACCACAGAAAACTACAGAGCAGAGCATCCGGCCGCTAGAATTCTTCTCCAGATAGCAACAGATCTCAACCAAGCTCTCTATCTATCTAGCCTGTCGAAAATTCTGTTACCGTCAGGAATAGAATTTAGGACCCCCTAAGCTGCCATTCCGGTCCAGTAGTCACCCTTTAATCCGTGTCGTAGGCAGAGCCCTCCCCCCGGTGTGGAATATCAAGAACATTTTTGCGTAAGCAAGATATCACTGTCGTGCCTCTGACAAAAAGGTCCTTGGGATTTCGACGGTGGCAGGATTTTCGCCACTAGCTAGTTAGATTGAGTGCAGCCGCTGTCTGAAGGAGAAGTCTAGCAGTCAGCCCCACTGATCTGTAGTTTTTTTCGTGGTTTCTGTGACCAACACCAGGCAAATGCCGGAGCAGACCCTAACAAACGTGACATAGAAATGTACGATTTTGTAACCCAAGTAAATGATTTTTATCATTCGACAGAAGCAACGTTCTTATTTGATTAAACAACGATTAAATAATGTAACATTTAAATAAGAATAGTCATTATATGTTTTTAATAATGTAGTGGACAAAATTAATTTAATGTTTACATTCTCATTACTGCATATACAGTATAGAGTAAGTATTGTAATGCTGCAGCCGTGCTGCCGGGCCCTGGCAACGAAAAAGTGGTTAAATCTTGTTCCGTTATACAGCGAATTACTTCTTGTAACACATTTTGTAGTCATAATTCTTGGTTTGTGGGTCCGTAATAACGAAAAATTGGATCGAATGCAAAACGTCTATCCGTCTCTCTCTGTGAACAACGCTAGCGGCTAAACGGTAAGCAGAATATTCACCAAAATTGATATTCCCAAATAGAAATAGCTGCTGTTGCGATCCCTTGTGTTTGAAATAGATGTGTTAATTTTGGGGAGTAATTTACTCGAAGGCGTTGGAACACTTACAAAATGTTTAAAAAATGAGCCAAATTTGTTGATTAAATTTCGCTGTACGATAGCCTAACTGGGCTTTCAAGTTGAGATTCTAGTACTACAGAAATTGCAAATTTCAATATTACGTAACTATTTCCAATAGTGCGAGACGAGAGAGTATGTACTGCTGGAGTATCACTAGTTTTCTTTCATTTATTTCTTTTTCGAAAATCAATCTTTCTTTTATACATTTTTCTTCAAAAGTGTGCACGTTTGAAGTAAAATATTTTTTTTTGTGTTTAATCACTTCCATTCCTCTGTAAAGTGGTCCATCATCATGGCACAATAAAGCAAACGATAAAAAATAATGATAGTGAATAGTATAATCGTTGCTACTCAATTCCGTGGAACGCTACATTTGAACCTTGAACAAATGTGTCCATTCCCTTATGTCACTGGTAAACATAGCTTCCTTAGCCAACATTACTTTCATTTGTCTTGTTAAGAGTAATTAACAATTGAACATCGCTTTCTTCTCCACTGCCACGCGCTCTGTTATTGACGTCATCGCATTTCTTCCCTCACGCATTTCCAATGTCATCTTCGAGGTAGGTCAGTTCTCTAACACACTAGAAAGCGCAAAGCAATTGGAGTGGAGCTCGACTGCGTCAACTAAAAAGTTAGTGGTAAAAGATGTATATTCACTAAAGGATAGTATATTACTGCTGAGGTGAAAATGAAGTAAAGAAATTAAATAAAATTAAAATTAGGAAGCCGGCATAAAAATACAAAAACGATTTTCAAACATATAACACATTTCTCATAATTTTTGTATATTATTACATGACATTAAACTATTTTACGGAATATTAGCAAGTTTGGAGAGATTATGATCCGTTTCGATTAAGTTTTCTTTAACAAATGACCCGTAAGTATTGGAAATGTACAACTATTTTGCTTCATTATTGTGCATGATTGTAATATGATTAGTTTAAACCATCCCTTGGACACAGAAGTCGACTATAATGAGTCACATCTACCAGTAACATTCAGAGAGAAAATTTGCCGAGGTAAAATTGCCGAAGGGAGCTGTCATCCTCGCGTGATGTTCCACGGCGGTTGACGCAACAGCACCTAACGGTGCTTGCGTGGCTGCGGAATGACTGGAACAACGCGAACGACCTTGCGCGCACACGGACGGCCACCGAAGCCGTTGCGTCCATTTGCAAGGAATGTTCCAACACTGTGTCTCCCCAGCGAAATAATCGTTTCTTCTGTCCATTATTAGTTAACATACATTTGAAACGGATATAAATTATTTTCAATTTTAGTGAATGAATGAGAATGATTTAATGATTTTATTGAGATGTCAGTGATAGTATAACCAAAATATTCAACACCACATTATGTAACATGCATAGTTGACGACAAAAATGTAACCTTCCGCTGAATTAGTGATTTTTATCTCGCATGTATTGTATTTGGTTGGTTTTATTACTAACATTTGTTAAAATGTTTTCAATAGCTTAAAAATATTTGTATCTTTTTAATTTTTACTTTCTCACGCTTAAGAAGGAACTTCTTAAAAAAAGTTATGTAATGCTATGCGAAAAACTGCGAATATTCGGCAGAAAAACTCTTATTACACGGCCATGTTAACGAAAACTTGGACAAATCCAGTTGCTAAATTTAGAGAAAAAAAGGCCTACAACACGTGGTGTAACCAGAATGCCTGTTTTGTGAGTTTTTGATACCGAAAAATCGATTGACGGCAAAACGGCTGTCTGAATAATGCAAGTGGATAAACTATTCAGCCGAATTTCTCTAAAATTGATATTCCCCAATCGATCTGGCTGATGTTGTTGCCCCTACAATTTGAAATTAATATTTTAATTTTGGGAAGTACCTTACATGTAGCCCCTGGGCCTTTTTGAAAATTTTCAAAAAGGACGCCATCGATTTTGATTAAATTTTATGGTTGGATAGTCAAAACGAATGGCAGATCTATTCGTTGAAAACTCTGATTTTTCAAAAATTGAAAAAAAATATTTTCTTCTATCTTCCTACAACCAAAATATTAAAGATTTACTCTTAATGAAATATGCTCCTTAAAGATAGATTTTGAAATATAGTCTTGTACAATTTTTCAAGAAATTTAGTACTTTTCGCGTAATGTTGCGTGAAATATAGGCAATTAATCATTTATGTTCGAAGGACATTTAAGAAATGGTGCAGGTCCCATGTTGGTTAAAAACTCCTATATATTTGTACAATATTACTATACCACAGAGTTTAATAATTACTATTATATATTTTTCGGTTTACTGTTTTCCAACGCTATCAATTTCGTATTATTCACTAACATTTAAATATTTTACTTTCTGGCATTATGCTTATTTTTCGCACCAAATGTTCTACAATTTCAAATAATTTTTACTAAAAATAATTCGGAGAGAAATTCTGGTATAAAAGTATTACATAACCATTACTAATGGAGAAGAGTACGTGATGTTTTAGCACCACTAGTTGTATTTTTGTTTCGAAGTACATCTGAAGATTAAGACGCAATCAGATCACCGAAACGTTACAAATTGAAAAATAAAACACATGTATAAAATAATGTGTCAAGCAAATAGCAGATTGTCTAAAAATCAAAGGTGGAAACTAAATTATAATACATGTTTTATTGTTGAATCTCCTATTCTCGTATTACGCGTAACGCCTGAATTCTTACACTCAGTGCGTAACTGCTTACATTGCAGACATCAAGGCTCCAAAGAAGATGCCGAAAGCTACTAAATATTTGTTATTTACGTGATGCGATATGCAACAGCAATGCTTTTAATAGTCTCGGTATGTAAAGAACTATTGTATACACATGGTGTATTTCGTTGCAGTATTCGTGAAAACTGTTTTTGTTAAAATATTTAACGCATCATAGAGTTTCAAGAGAGCATTTTAATTGTTGATATTCTGCAGTATGTATGCTGTTTGGAAATTCATTTTGTGTGGTTTCGGCAACATTTTTGCTGCTGCAGGCCACTAGTATCCTACAATTTGTCATTACCTAATCCAATAAATAAGTTACACAATTTCCCCTGAAGACTGATTTCCTCTAGGTTCAAGAATAACCAGTAAAAAAATATGGAACACCATTCTATCATCTGAAGCCTCAGACGTACAGTGAGACATAGTGGATGTAGATTGCTGGAATCGACCAGAACTGAATATTCTTACTAGCATCAATTTGTCAGAAAAGGTAACTTGTATTGAGAAAGATGCAGCAACTTACCTGATTCTTCTGATCGATTAGAAACACCCAGGACTCCTGAAAAAAGACATTTGTGCTGTCACAGAAAATATAAGAATGTCTATTTGCTACCTAATTTTATTGTTCTCTCCCAGGTGATAAACTTTCTCTTTGACAATTCTACTCATGAAATTTAAACCAAGAAAGTTAATTTATTTCTCCTCAGTGAGGCAATTGAAGACGAATTACCAGGACAGTTTATCACTGGAGAATTATTTCTCTAATAGTATTATTTCGACGCGCCTTTGTTTTAAACAATGAATGGCTGCCACATGGAACAAAGATGGTCTGCAAGCTTCTGCTGCAGAAATTGTTCGCAGGTGAATTATCACACTTGAACATAATTTTTTGATAAATGAACTAAAAATTTTATTCTTCGAACAGTATCCACTCGTACATTAACTCTGCCAAAATAAAATCCTCCACTGCTAGGCAGCTCGGGATTTTATCAGTAATTTCAAAATACTATAGGTTTTATTTAAGGTTATTTTCCAAAACATTTACGAAACTTGTCAGTAAATAATTTGTGGACAAATGTCTAACTATCAGCCCAAAAACTGGTCTAAATTTTATTATTATTATTATTATTATTATTATTATTATTATTATTATTATTATTATTATTATAAAATATAAATCATATGACAGCTGAATTTTGATATTTTAATGCTTAATCATTTAAAATATTTGCACCTGAATGGCACAAAATTTTCAAAATCCTGGTCATAGAAATTATCATCTTTGTAAAGTGACACCAGTTCAATTATTTCCGGTAATAACATATAATACAACTACTGTGGGTGGGCAGCAGTGGGTTACGCAATGCGAATTTTTTATAATTTTTGTCATTTACTATTTAATTGTATGTTTTCTCTATTAATGATTATTTCAGGTGTATGTAGTTTGTAAGTTTATTGTTATTTACAACACTGTCTTACATGCCACAAACTATTTTGTGGCCATATTTATGTAGTCTGCTCGGAATATTTTGATTGAAGTACGTTGTAAATTTTGTTTCGTTGGGTATTGTTATTCACATAAGAAACTGTATTTCATGAAATCACACTTTAGAGAGAATCTGTAGCTTTTCCTCGGTGATTTAATATTATTATTATTATTTCTTAAAACTGGACCGATTAATCTAACAGAAAAACATTGTTTCAGTAGTCGTGGGAAAAGTTTTGGATGACACACCACAAAAAAAGAACGGACTGCTGCATTATTTCCACATCGTACAAACGCACTACGAGAAATCGCTAATTTGGAAGGAACTTCACAGTCAACAGTTTGAAAAATAAATAAACACATGCAGACCAGTGTCAACTTCGAGAGCAAAAGAGAAAGAAAATGTGCCAGAAAAAAAGCTTTCACTAAAAATTGAAAAAGAAAAAATACGTCGCATTTGCATTAGAAAACATGAAATACATTTAAAGATGATTTTAAAGATGACGTGTATGTGTGTGTGTGTACGTGCGTGCGAGTGTATTGGCGGTACACTGCATACCCATAGAAGGCCACAATACGCTCGCCGAAACGTTAGCCACCATGTCAGTGACGCGGCTCGTCCCGAATAACCTAGATAACACAATGCATACCCACCCCGCTTCAAGTATACTGGTCCCTGCTACACAACTGCTCATAGTGTTAATAACATTTGAAAACCTTTCGAATAATTAGTTATTAAATTGTTACCTTTCATCCAAATCATTACAATATCCAAATTTTGCATTTCGCAAGACTAAGCCGAGGAAACTATTCGATATGCCACGTATCCCCTCATTTTAGCTAGTACCGGTGCTACTAGCTTTAGCTAGTAGAAATCTTTACATTCTTCATGAATACAGAAAAAAAATTCTAACATCTGCTTTATTTGCAATTTGTTCTACTCGAACATTCGGCAAATACAATTGTACATAAATTATTGACGTGTAAAGAAACCATCCAATTCTGGTTCTTTCTAAAAATGGTTTTAAACTAATTGTCCAATTCAGAGAGAAAAACAAAACAAACAAGAACAACAATAAACAACATCACATTGAAATAACAATAACACAATAACAAACAAACATACAATAGTGCAAGCATTGTGACAAAAAATTATATCTACAGTAACAATTATCTTAAAAGAAAAATATTATTTATATCTATGGTCCAGATCAAGAGGATGTACTCTTTTCAATCTTCTTGTCATTGTGCTGTTATCTAAGATGTTTATGGCCAGATGATTAATATGCTTTTCGAGTCTGTGTTGGTATTTGTGAGATTTGAGAGTGATTTCCTCTTTAACACTGCTGATATTGAGATCTTTATGTAGAGTGGCGTTTGATACACACCAGGGAGCATTGCTTAATATCTGAGACATTTGGATTGAAATCTTTGAATTATTTCTATATTTGAATGTGAAGCTGTTCCCCAGAGTTCAATGAATACAGAAAAATGGAAATTTTTTCGAGTAAATGTGGAATCTCAAACGAGTCAATAATTGCCAAATTTTGAACAGATTGACTTATATCTATATTTATCGGCACATTAAAAGTGAATTTGTTCACTAAAATTGGAACGAAGACTGAATACCTCACGACGTGCAGCTTTTGTGATGTTGAGCAGTTACACTTTCGATTGTTCAGAATTTCATGATGGTTCTAGCTTAGTCATGTAATGAGTGAAAGTTCGAAACGAAGAAAGAAGACGCAATGAAAACGAAATTCAATGAACTTGCAGAAATGGCATGACATGCACCACCCACCTTAACTGCTTACTCTTCAAAACCAGGAAAACCAACGGTTTTTTTTCTGAAACATGCTTCATAAAGAACTTTTTCTTTGGATAACTTGTGGAAAATAATGAAGAAGCTCTCAGATATCATGACCTCAAGATTCTGTAGTTTCTTTCTACTGCATTTTATAGATATTGATATTTGTAGATTGGAAGCCATCTGAACGTACGGTTACACTTATGAACATGACCATTTCTTTGCTGCTGCGTCAGCCAATTGTACATGTGAGTTAGTTCAAAGCTATTACAGGCCTTCTGAAGTGACTGTGGCTTGAAGTTCCTAGGGTTCCAGTTCCAATAGTAGCGAATTTACGTCATTAGCTAGATAGCAAAATCGAATTAAGCCGCCGCCTGGAGAAGACTTTTAGCAGCTGGCCGCTGTGATAGGTACTTTTTCGTAATTTCTCCTATCAATACTATGCGGATGCCGGAGCAGTATCCTAACACACGGGCCACGGACCGAGCGCGATCTTTCTTTCCTGCTTCTTGTTCTATCATTTTTCTTTATTCACACACACACGTACTATGATTTTAACGATTTATAATAAATTATTTATACGATGGTTTTAACTATGTCAAGTTATTTCGGTGTAAATGAATGTTCATGTATGGTGCACACCACATTTTATATTTGGCAGTAAGAACTGCCAAATCTGCCACAGGAAGCATAACCTCGAGGGGAATATCTCCCACCAACCGACATGCAGGTCTCACGTTTTAACGGGAGAGAAACACTGCCACCACCATGATGAAATATTCTATACACAAATGGAACAAATGATCAAAGATGTTGACGTGCTCAGGAAGAGCCAATCATCATCAACATCATAATCATTAATTTTATACGAATAATGTTTCCGTTCAGTATTTTTGCATTAGAAGTTTGTAAAGATGGCAAAAAATAATAAAAAACGTTTATTCATCGATTAATTGAAAGCAAACAATTATTAATTGATTGATATTTTTGGTCTTATCAATCGAACATAATAATAAAACGAAATATAATCGATTGTTTTTGTTAAAATGTAACTTATTCAGATACTAATCAATTTTGTGAGTCCATATTTTAAGTCCTAGAATTGAGAGATCACTTTTGTACGAAGAATTTAATTACGTCAATATAAAAGGCATGTTCATGTACGACATATACCACATTTCATATAGGGCAATAAAAACTGCATATATTGCCCAAACAATCCTATAGATGTCGCCACTCTCCAATTCTTTCCTATGGCTTACCGGTTTTGCCCATAGAAGTATCGAATATTCGAAGAGAAAGACCGTCCGTAATAGACAAGCTGAATGAAAAAGGGAATAAAACTGGATCTTCATGGAATAGCATCCCGAGATTGGTTCAAAAATTCCAGCAGAGGAAGTTCAAGGGGCTCCCGAATATCCATCTCTGTATTGACCAGTGTAAGAGTGAAAGTTAATAACATAGTGAATATGTAGAAGAAAACACAAGAAATCAAAGGGTTTTATAAAGAAAGACCGCAACAGTGCATATTCACGTTGCACCGTTCAATTCAGTCCGAGAAGTAATTCTAAGAATTTGAAATTGGCGTGAAACGTCATTCCCATTACTACAATGCAACGTGATAACTTTTGAAAGATTTGAGGAAAAGATGTGCAAAAACTTCGTACCTTCAATTACAAATATTCGCAGAGAATGACCATCCGTAATAGACAAGCTGAATGAAAAAGGGAATAAAACTGGATCTTCAGGAATAGCATCCCGAGATCGGTTCAAGAATTCCAGTAGAGGAAGTTCAAGGGGCTCCCGAAAATACAAAAATATCCACCTCTGTATTGACCAGTGTAATAGTAAAAATTAATAACATAGTGACTATGTAGAAGAAAACACAAGAAATCAAAGGGGTTTATGAAGAAAGACTGCAAAAATGCATTTTCACGATGCACCGTTCAATTCAGTCCGAGTAGTAATTCTAAGAATTTGAAACTGACGTGAAACGTCATTCCCATTACTACAATGCAACGTGATAACTTTTAAAATATTCTAGGGAAAGAAGTGCAAAAACGTCGTACCTTCAATTTGCAAAACTACAAAATATTTGCATGAATAGAGCCCGGATGTTTCGCAAAACGCCTTATTAATGTTACGATATTTTGACTTAACAATAGGAATCACTTAATTGTGTTTCTGGAGTTGTTTTAGTAGATTTTCATTGTTCTTCTTTTCCCTTTCTTTTTTTGTTGCGTATTTTAGCTTCTCATGCGCAGTT